GAGCAAAAGCTGTCGTCTTAGCCTCCGTCACTGCCATCTTCGCCTCCTTCCTAGCTACCTTATATGTCGCAATGTTCGCTCTCTTCTCCTCCTCGCTAGTGCTCCCTACTAACCGCAGGTAAGCCACCTTCTTCGCTTCCACTTTACCTTGGACAACTGCATTCCACCACCAGTCTCCTTTGTGGCCACCGGTGCGGCCCCAAGATATCCCTAACACCTCTCTCGCCGCCTTCCTTATATAGTCCGCCGTCGTCGACCACATAGTGTTTGCGGCCCCACTACTTCTCCAAACTCCCATTGCCGACAACCTTCCTTCCAACTCCTTAGCTTTATCCTCAGTCAAGGCGGCCCCACCTAATCCTCGGGCGGCCTCGTACTGACCTCTGCTTCCTCCTTATCATAATACTAATGTCCATCACCAAAGGCCTATGTTGCGTTGCAAGGGTCTCACCTGGGATAACTTTGCAATCCTCGCACAACCTTCTGTCGCATCTCCTGAACGTGAATAGTATGTAAATGGATATTCACAGCATTTATATCCTTCTGCTGGCTACTGTTTCATGTTACTGATTGTGAAATTTGTTCATATGCATAAGGTCATTACAACGAGCACTAGACAAGAGACTCTATCTTCTTGTTCATGGTACCACACATGGCTCTCCTAGTGAAAAGCCTGTCTGGCATTTTCCAGAAAAAGTTTATGATTCCGAAGAGACCCTGCGAAAGGTTAGTGGTATTTATTCAATATTTCCTGTCAAAATTAGGGATTTTAATATTTGAAAAATAAATATAAGTTGCAACCATTTGCAGTGTGCTGAATCTGCCCTAAAATCTGTAATTGGGGATCTTTCACATACATATTTTGTTGGAAATGCCCCTATGGGACATATCGCCGTACAACCCACTGAAGATAAGGAAAAGACATCATTTAAGGTATGGATATTTTTATTTGTCAAAGAAGTGAGAAAAGAACAGTCAGAAATTCTTACCCAAAAAAAAAGCAGAGAAATTCTCTGATAGTTTCTGCCTGCAAAGTGTAGGTGCCACTAATGTGTTTATTTATATTTATTGTGGCAGCGCTTCTTCTTCAAATCCCAAGTTATTGCGACCAATAAATTTAATATTAGGAAGTGTGATGATTTTGTCTGGGTGACGAAAGATGAATTGTTGGTATACTTTCCTGAGCAAGCTGAATTTTTGAACAAGATGATCATCAGCTGATGTTGGTTTCCATTCCAACTTTAGCTTGGTAGCTGAGTTAACTTTGATTATAGGCTGATGTTAAAATCCATTTGTTTCCACCAATGTAACGGGTTTTGACAACTGGAAATGATATTAGATCCTAACTGTAAGATCTGGCTTCAAGTTGCCAGTGCGCCAGGCCCTCCGACAGGGTTTGGACTCATCAAGTTTTGTAGAATTTTGAATATAGGACACTTAAGATTGTGACGGCCTTCTGCGTCCGGGTTCTCCATACTCCTCTTTGTGAGAAGATGTGCTCAAAACTCTGAATTGTCCATGCAATTTGCTAGTATATGCTTGTAGATGCATGATTTCATCTCATGTGATGAAGTAAACAAAATAAATTACGTGTTTGTTGTAGTAGATGTGAGCTTTAGTCCAATTGTCTCATAGCTGCATTGTGCATTGAGAATATTCTGATTATCAAGGTGATTGCGCCTTTAATAGTTAAGTGCATGGTCTAAGTTTGAGGAGTTGTTGATGGATCTTGTGCTTTTCTGGCTTCTTGCTACACGAATAAGCTCTTCTTTGTGGGTTAAGGTGATGTATTGGTATTACATCATATTGACACACACGCCCTGTTTATACACAGAAGAGTTCCTCTTTCCTAAGCTTTCACCTCAGCATTTGTCTTTCTACGTTGTCTGCTTTGTGCTGGGCTACTGACAGCACTACCAACTCTAAGGTTACAAAGCAAAGCATCGTATTCAGCTAGAAGAATTTGAAAGAATCTATCTACCTCCTTTTGCTAGGGGATCTAGTCATTTCTAAAGACTTTCTGCTTGTTTAGTTGGTCTGAAGTTCGAAGTTCAAAGTTCACTGCCTAGCATAAGCAGGGTTTACTCAATCTTGCGGGAGTGGATGTAACTTCTTAGCACTTGTATACACCACCACAAGCTCCTAGTATGCTGTGAACCTTCCTATAGGATATCTGCTAATAACATCGGAAAGGTCAATAAAAGCTTCTGTCCACAAGTAAGTAATGTCCTTTAAATTTCTTTGCAGACATTGGTAATCAGACAGCAAAAGATGGTACCCGTAAAAGTTGTCATCCTCACTCTATTTATTGCCAGCATCTGAGCCTTCCCTTTTGGAATATTCTTGTTCATAGGTAGGTCCAATGATTCAGTGGGATGTTCAAGATGGCAAAGCAATTCTCCAGTCTTGGCTTTGCTAAGGCTGGAAATCTCATAACTGAGGGTGTTATGGTCTATTGTAAGGTATAAGACTCGAGTCCCACGGTATTGCATTGTGCTCATGTGGGGGTTACATAGCCTTTGACTCTCCCTCCTTAATAGCTAGCTTTTGGGGTGTGTCTTTTCCTGAGTTGTATCAATGGTATCAGATCCACCCACCACCCTCTGTGCCCACTGTGCTATGGATGGTGACATCGTTATTGCAATGTTCTCAGGAGGTTAGAAAGGTCTAGTGCACAACTGTCTGAACGATGTATGCGGAGCGTGGTCGGGGCTCTCCCACTTCAATAGCTAGCTTTTGGTGTGTGGTTCTTCTACTTCAATAGCTAGCTTTTGGTGTAGGTTCTTCTTGGGTTATATCAGAGGGCAATGCATTTACCCCCCTCATTCTATAATCCAAGTAGGCATGTCAATCAACGCGACGTTCAAGTTAGATAAGGTAATTGTCCAAGTTAGATAAGGTAAGTTAAGGATCATAGAATGTTTCTCATCGGTATGAATTGCATGAAATGTTGTTAGAAATATGCTTTAGAAGCTACTCTTAGTAAAATTATTTTACTGTTTCAGCTTAAGAGTTATTTACTGCAGTAATTTAGTTTGAATTTGAAATAATTTTGAACTAGTCTTTAGGAGTGAACTAGTCGCTAAGAGTTAGTTATTTTTAGTAGATTTTGTGCTGATTTTTAGGTCTTTTAAGTTAGTATTTCTCTTATAAATTGTAGTCCAAATGCAGTAAAATAACATAGAATTTTCAGCTTCAGTTCCTTTTACATCTATTCTAGCATACTCCTTTTATTTTCTTGTCATCTTCCCCAGTTATTTCCCTTAATTTCTTTTATCAAGAACCAACAATTGGTATCAGAACCATCTTCTTAAGGGACCTAAGTAAAATCTTTTTCGACTGAAATGAGTTTTTCTCAATTGGCTCCTCCAGTCTTTAATGGTGAAAATTACCAATTGTGGGCAGTGAGGATGAAGGCTTACTTGGAGGTTTTAGATCTTTGGGAGGCCGTGGAAGAGGATTATGATGTTTTTCCGCTGCCTAACAATCCCACGGTAGCCCAGATCAAGAGTCATAAGGAAAAGAAAACCAGGAAATCAAAGGCGAAAGCAACTTTGTTTGCTGGTGTGTGCAACAATTTTCACGAAAGTTATGGCTCTCAAATCAACAAAAGAAATATGGGATTATTTGAAGGGAGAATATACAGGAGATGAAAAAATTCGAGGCATGAAGTTGCTGAATTTAATAAGGGAATTCGAGTTGCAGAAAATGAAAGAATCTGAGACCGTCAAAGAATACTCAAATCAGTTGCTTGGCATTGTTAATAAGGTAAGGTTGCTTGGCACTAAATTTAAAGATTCAAGAATTGTTGAAAAATATTCTTGTTACGGTGCCTGAAAAATATGAAGTATCCATAACTACCTTGGAAAATACAAAGGATCTATCCAAGATTACCTTGGCAGAATTGTTAAATACATTGCAGGCACAAGAGCAAAGAAGGCTTATGAGGCAAGATGGTATGGTTGAAGGAGCCTTGGCAACCAACCACAAAACTCAAAGCAAGGGTAATAATGTAAAGAAAAATTACCCACCTTGTCAGTACTGTGGCAAAAAAGGTCATTCACCATTCAAATGTTGGAAGAGGCCAGATGCAAAGTGCAAAGTTTGCAACCAACTTGGTCATGAAGCTGTAATTTGCAAAGGCAAATATCAAAAGCATGAAGCAGATGCCCAAGTCGCCAATGAAGAAGAAGAAGATCACTTGTTTGTGGCAACTATTCTTTCAACCAAAATAATCTGATTTTTGGTTGATTGACAGTGGTTGTACAAACCACATGACATATGACAGAAATCTTTTCAAAGAGTTCACGTCTATAGCAAATAAGAAAGTCAGAATTGGAAATGGTGATTATATTCTTGCTAAAGGAAAAGGAACTGTTGCAATCCCAACAAATTCATGTACTAAGAAAATTTCAGACGTTCTTTATGTTTTTGATATTGATCAAAATTTATTAACTGTTGGACAACTAATGGAAAAATGATTTAAAGTATCCTTTGAAGATAAATATTGTTTCATTTATGATGCAACTGGACTTGAGATTTTAAGGGTTAAAATGAGAGGTAAAAACTTCTCATTTGATCCAACCGAAGATGAAGAATGGAGCCAAAAGAATCTACTAAGTGCAGGTAATTTTCCAACTGAGGACATATGTGAAAACGAGGCAAGGAAGAAGTTTTCAATATTTCAGAAAATGCAAATCTGGAAGAAAGTTGGCAAGTCTCAAGGCAAGATGCAAATGGAGCTGAAAAACGAGCCAACTTATTTCATTGACAATCATGAGATGCAGCAAAATACAGAAGTGCACTCGATTCACTGCAAGTCCAAAGATCAGTTGGCAGATTTACGTACAAAGGCGCTTCCAGTTAAAGGTTTACAAGACACAAATTCAGAATTTGCAGCTTCAAAAGCAAGGGGGAGTGTTAGAAATATGCTTTAGAAGCCGCTCTCAGTAAAATTATTTTACTGTTTCAGCTTAAGAGTTATTTACTACAGTAATTTAGTTTGAATTTGAAATAATTTTGAACTAGTCTTTAGGAGTGAACTAGTCTCTAGGAGTTAGTTATTTTCAGTAGATTTTGTGCTGATTTTTAGGTCTTTTAAGTTAGTATTTCTCTTATAAATTATAGTCTAAATGCAATAAAATAACATAGAATTTTCAGCTTCAGTTCCTTTTACATCTATTCCAGTATACTCTTTTTATTTTTTTGTCATCTTTCCCAGTTATTTCCCTTAATTTCTTTTATCAAGAACCAACAAATGTGCTTTATGCTAGTCTCATCCACAACAGATTGGTGATGTTTAGAGCCGTCAATATGGGCTTGGCCCGTTGGGCCAGCCCAGCCCAGCCCAGCCCGTGATTTAGCAGGGCTGGGCTAGAATTTTTGGAGCCTGTTTAAAAATGAGGCTTTTAAGCCCGACCCGAGTAAGCTCGTGGCCCGTAAGGCTTGACTGAGGCTGGGCCGGCCCGGCCCGTGAGCCTAATAAAATATTTATTTAAAATATGTAAAAATAAAAAGTATACTGCCTTTAGAGATAAAAAGTCAGAATTGAATCTTTACTAAGAGGAACCAAAACTTGATCTTGAGAAGTTTCAAGAGATGATGTTGTCATGTATTGGAAGGATCATTCTAGAAAATATCCCGATCTTTCAATAATGGTGCGTGATGTACTTAGCATTCTTATTACCATTGTACCATCGGAATCACCATTTAGCATTGGTGGCGTGTTCTTACAAAGTACAGAAGTTGCATTTATTATGAAAATGTCCAAACACTTGTTACTACTTGAAATTGGCTGTACAGGTTTTCCCGAACTCAAACTGGTAATATTTTTTTATGTGAATTTAAATATTATTAATTTTTAAAATTTAATTATTTTTAATATTTAACTAATTAATATTGTAGATGAAAGTGAAGATGTTAGACAACCTTGTCACAAGCGGATTCAAATGTGTTTGATGAAGATGGTGTATTGGATATCTCATAAGCATCATGAACGTTCTCTTGAATAGTTTGTTTTAAGTTTTGACTTTTAGTGAATGAAATATAGTCATGTCTTTTACTTTTTTTAGTATTTATTGTGATATATTGGAACAATATAAAAAGTTATTAAGTTTTGCGATTTTTTTCCAATAAGATATTTTTTAACTTTTAAATAATTATCTTTTTTTAGGTCAGAACTTAAAGAAAAAATATAAAATTATATTTTTAAAAATGATGGGCCGGCCCGTGACCCACATAGGGCTGGGGTGGGTTGACCGTTATAAGGTCCATCAAAATGGTGGGCTAGTCCAGCCCAGCCTACTACGGGCTGGGCTAGCCCGGCCCAGCCCATATTGATAGCTCTAGTGATGTAACGGCCCATATTGACAGCTCTAGTGATGTAACAACCCATATTGACAGCTTTAGTGATGTTATCCTTATCTCGGCGCTTAAGGATCTCTAAGGCTCTGCTAATGACTCCTCAAAAGCATTCAAGAGAGCAAGAAGCCTTGGAGCCTTAAAAAAGAACGAACGTAGTCATTCTGCGAGCTTGCCATTGTGCTTTCCTTTACCGTTCTCTTATCAGCAGTCCTTTTCTGCTCGTGAGAGTCGGTGTGCCTCTTTGATTGTCGACCGATTAGCTTTATATCTAAATATCTTACTTTCAGGTTTTCTACGTCCAAATGCTTGTAGAAAGTAACCAAACCACCCTTGACACTTCCCAAGGCTTCATAC